GGGGGGGGGGGGGGGGGGGTCTGGTATATCCAGCCACAGCAGGAAAGAGATCTATTTTTAATGGCTTTGGCTTTATCGCACGAAGCAGGCACCCTCCCGTTAAAGGCACAGAGTCCTCTCTTCTGCCCCACCTCCTGGGTTTCTGAAATCTAGACCTGAGTTCCAAGGGGGGGGGGGGTCACTGCAAGGCAGCAATTTCAGGCCTGGGGCTTGGAAGTGCAGCAGCAGCCAGATAAGGTGGAGGAGGCACGGTTTCACTCTCTTGCAAGTATCAGACACCCAGGGCCAAGGCCCAGACTGGGCTCTGCAGCTACAGCCAGAGTCTGGGTACAGGAGGCAGATGAGGCGGTTCTTGAGAATAGACAGTCCGATCCTCCAGAGCCGGCTCCAGCTCCTGCAGAGCTGTGTGGTCAGTGCTGCAGATCCCTGGGCAGCATAAAGTCCCTGAAGCTGTAGAAGGAGATGTCACCGTGATCCACCAGGGCAAATATCAGAGGGACATCCCCACTCTGGTAGGACAACTGCTTCAGGGTGCAGAGGTCTGGGACAGGCTCATCAAATCTGCAAGGATAAAGGTTAGACTGAGACCTGGCCATAGCCTACTCATAAGCTTTGAGACTCCAGCCCCTCTGAAGCTCCCAGCGAAGGAAGATTATAGGACAGGAGTTAGGTGTGCAAGAATTCTGGCCCCTGGGCTCTCCTGTCTGCAAACTCCATGGCTCTGATGAGTTCTAGGAGAGCCCCAGAGCCTTGGTTGGGTAGGGGGTTAGGAAAAGCAAGGTTTTCACCTCTCTGAGCTTGTAAACCCCTCCAATCTATATCTCCTTTGCTAGTGAGCCCAGGGCTAATGTGGCATAGGAAAGAGACTACCCAAAAATGCCAGTTAAGGGTTAGGAAGCTTGGGTTCCCATAGCACTAACTGGCTGTGTGGCCTCATGTAGGTCACTTAACCTCTCTGGATGTCAGGTTCCTCTCAGGGATTGGCATACTGGCCAGGAGTGTGGAGAAAGAGAACTGGCAGCAGCCTGGGGGCAATGCTCTCTCATCTCGTACCCACTAATGCACATCCGGGCATAGGGTTTGCCAGGGTTATTCTTTCGGAACGTGGCCACAGCGTCAGCCTGGTAAACATCAAAGCTGATCTCCAAGCCCCCGGGCTTCTCCAGCAGCCTAAAGATAGAGTGAGAAACCTTAGGACACGGAATCCCCTCCCTGACCTTTCCTTCCCATCCCACCTCTTCCCTCTACCAGTTCCAAGCAGCAGCCTCATCCAGGGAAACTGAGGTTGTGAGGGAGAGAGGCTCTGAACCTCTGGGATAAACCTATCACTTTTCCCTCTCCCCTAGACACATGAACATTAGCTGTCGTGCAGAGCTAGGCATGTGGGTAGGGGTCCCTGGAATGATCCTCTAGCTCATGCCCAACTTCAGCAGCCAAATCCCAGGGGCCAACTCCTGCTGGCAGCCACAGTATGTGGAGTCAGGCACTGCTTGGAAACTTACCAGGCACCTCCATCAGCAAGGTGTGTAGTCTGCAGCACAGAAATATGCTCTAGGACCATAGCTACAAGGACAGTGACAACAAGATATTCAGGAGGGGAGTCAACCATCTACGGACCTCCTTAACATTTCTGAATCTGCCATCTAATTTAGGGTTGCCAGATTTAGCAAAAGTACGTCCATGCAATATCTGGAATATACTTATACTAAAAAATTAGCTGTTGCTTATCTAAAATTCAAGTTTAACTGATTTGGCAACCCTAATCGTTACCTAAAATCTACCATGTTCCCATGAGGATTTTAAGTAAGTAGTTCTGATCTGTTAATACATTTAGCTTAGGCTAAATCTTGCCCTATCAGTTCCCCGTGTTTAAAACTAAGAGCAGGCAGTAAGCCGTCCTTTCATTTGGCCAAGATTGCACTTCCTTGTTCCAGCTAACAGGGTTGGGAGAAGAGGGAACCACCGCTAGTTGGTGGCAAAGCCATCACATGCATCTTGTTTATGATTTTAAGGACGTGGTCATAGTTTTCACCGCTGCTTGGGCAATGATTCACCGTCTCTAAATCTTATCACATGGGCCCTTCTGCTGCTGCCCGCAGAACTGACTGTCCTTGGGGGTTCCATGCCACCAGACAGCTCTCTCCTCCCAAATCTCTCTTAAGCCTCAATCAAGTCCTGCTCGATACATGCCCCTTTCAAATTTTTGTGATTCTTCAGCTGCCAGTGGCCTGCAGGGCTGCGACAGGTGAGGATATACCTGGGGAGTCCATCTGGCTGGGGCTCAGCAAAGGGGTGACGGGCTGGCCCCACAGGTGTGGGGGGAAGCTGTGGCTCTTCTGCAGGTGCCGCCTCTGCAGCAGCTCCTTGTACTCCCGCCAGCTGGAGCAGCGCTGCACCTCGGGGTCTGCATTCACATCCTCCCGGAAGTAGCAGTCCTCCACCTGTTGCTCCCTTTCCCCTCGGGAGAGCTTCTCCTTCCGCTGGTTCAGCTTCTGGCACCAGGACTCAGCGTCTGTCTCCCGCCCAGCGACATTGGCCGGGAGCAGCTCTGGGGCTGGGGCAAGCAGGAGGGTGTGGCGGCTGTCTGAAGCCATGTTGGGGAAGGAGATCTGCTCAAAGTTCCAGCGTGGCTTTCCAGCCCCCTTGACTCCATTCTCTACTTTGCCACTTTCCCAGCTGCACCCCACTTCTTCCCTTGCCAGGCCAGGAAAGGGTTCCAGGGACCCCGGAAGCTGAAAGTGGCCCACCAGGTCCTTTATGGGGCTTGACTTCTGGGGTTTCTCCTGTGGACATTGGCTGTTCTGGCTGCAGGGAGGTGGGCTGGAGGCTGCCAGGCTCTCAGGTTGCAGGGAGCTCTCCAGGGCCTTAGCCTTCTTATTAATGGACCTGAGGGGCGTGGGAGGAAAAGCAGCACATGTGAGGCACATACGTCCCCTGTGAGCTGAGGACAGTTCCTCTACTGTCTCCCCAAGCCTCTGCAGGAGCCACCCAAGCCCAGTTCTTAAGCCCATGTGTTCTCCAAGGTCCCAGACACGAGCACTCCTGGGGGCTGGCCATGGTGGGAAGCATTACCAAGAGCTGAAGCTCCTCCTCTTCCTCTTGCCATCCCCATCCTCCAGGTGCTGGGCGCTGCCATCCAAGTTAAGTTGCCTCTCATAAGGTGACAGGATAGAGCTGTGGGGTGAGAACAGCGGGTGGGCTACAGATCCATCTGCTCAGCCTGGTGCTCCTGCTAGGATTGGTGAGGGGCTGGGCTAGTCAGTGGGCCAGAATCAGAGCCACACCCGAGGGGAAGGAGCACACAGGGGTGGGGATGAGGGCAGCCACAAGGTCCTCATCCTGTGCCTCTGCCCAGGCCTCTGGGTTTCACTGGAATTGGGGCTCCTGAACAGTGAGCGATAAATGATTAATGCTGGTGAGAGAAACCAAGAGGAACCAGAAAACTTGGAAAATACAGAAAAATAAAGATGAAAATAAAAACCTTGGATAATCACTGTTAACATTTTTGTTTCTTATACAATGACTAATCTCTCCTTATTTATTTATTTAGTTTTGGCAGATGGCCGGTACAGGGATCTGAACCCTTGACCTTGGTGTTATAACACTGCGCTCTAACCAACTGAGCTAAACAGCCAGGCCTTCTCCTTTTTTTTTTTCTTCCTGACAAAAATGACATTGTACTAACATACTGCTTTGTAATCCCCTTTTTTCCCCACTCAGTAACATACTGTGGACACAGCCCCTTATCGCTACAGGATTCTTCCCTGCCAGGAATTTTTTTATTTTTATTTTTTAAAATTTTGTCTCACTTTAAGTCAAAATCTGCCATGAATTTTTATGGCTCTCAGGCTGCACTGTCCAGTACAGGAGCCACTAGCCACAACTGGCTATGTAAGATAAAATTAAATCAATTAAAATTAAAAACCCAGTCCCACAGTTGCACAAGCCACATATATTGGTCATACACATAGGACATTTTCATCACTATAGACCATTCTATTGGACAGAGCTGCCCTAAGGGATAAACTCTAATTTAGGTGAGCATGCCTCCCTCCATGTTGAATTCATACAAGTATACTTGTTTACAAACATACTGACTTTGCAAAGTGCTGGTGTTTTGTCTAAGTTCCCTACTGCATGCAAGCTCTGTGGGGCAGCGATTTTACTCTGTTATTCCTCAGCAATAAGCACAGGCCCTGGCTCCCAGTTTAAGTGGTCAATAAATATTGTTGAACGAATGAACATTCTCACAGGTGAATCTCTGCACGTATCCATGATTATTTCCTCAGGATAGATTCCACTTTTAGGAAATAAAAGTTGTGACTGTTTTAGTACTTTCGTGACACACTGTGTAACTGCAAAGCTGTACCAGTTTCTGCCCTGAGTTGGAAGATCTCTGTAGTTCTTAGCAATGCTGGATCACTAAGGTGATAAAGGACAGAATATCTGACGTAGTATAAAAAATGTGAAAACCTACTCATCTGTAAATTCCTCACTTAGTCTTTCACGCACTCAACAAATCTGTATGCACACCTACTAATGGCCAGGTACTGTTCCAGGACTGCATCTCAGTGCTCACAGTGAGCTGTAGGTGCTTAACCATTATCTGAAGATGGCTCTCAATGGGATAACCCAGGATAAAGTGTAATGACCTGTGTTTGTCCCAACATGCCTCTCTTCTTGAACACTCCCAGTGAGGCACCCCAGTCAGTGTCCAGGGAGCTGCAGCTCCAGCCAACGATAAGGAGAGGCCACTTTCCACGTGGGGCTAGTCAGCCAGGTCCTAGGACTAGAATGAGTAGGAGGGAAAAAGGATAGGGATTTACCATGGTTGGAATCGTCGAACCACATAGCCCAGTCTCTTCAGGTGGCTAAAGACCTCAAAAGAAAAAAAAAAAAAGGAAAGCTCAGAAGTCCACTCTTAAAAAGGCCAAACAGTTTCTCCAGACACAAGTTACTACCTACTCCCCTCTCTTGCCCTTCCTGTACAACCCGACTCCAAACCCTGGGACTGGCTGGATCATGCTCCATTATAAACATGATCCCCCAGGTAAGGTCTCAGTCTTCGAATTCCTGTCTTCTTGTTTACCTTACTAAGGGAATGAAAGACATTTAGCAATTTCTTGGTTAAATGCAAATCCCAAAAAGCTGAAAGTGATGGACACAGAAAAAAACTATGCCCTAGAATATTTTGATACGAAAGTTGACAAGAATGGAGCTTCTGACTACAATTTGGACAAAAAGATGCCAAAGGTAGTGGATATGTCTCTACCACCACCCGTTCACAGACATGAGCACGAATAGTCTCGGAACAGTCTCTGGTAAAGAGCCACATTTTCATTCTTGTGTCACAGGGACATATCTAGGAATGTGCCCATTTTGCTTGATCTCTCAGCAGTCTTCCACAGAGCTAACCACTTCGTTGATGAAAGAAAGACCT